AGGAATGTTGAGATTTTCCAAAATGCTCATCTATCTCTCCTCTCCAAAGTAAAATTAAGTAGAGGAGGTGTTACTTATCATCTCTCTCCCCTGCTCTCTATTCATAGCCAAAGCCACAAGCACTTGAGTACACCAGTTTTATGTGCAATTTTGTTTCTGGGAAATGTCCAGCATGTTCCATTCTAACACAGCGTGCAGGTAGGTCTATAAATTCAATCAGTTCACTGGGAGTGTTTATATCCCGGAAGTTCATTATTAGACTGTGGCCTTCATTGTGTTCAGGTTTTGTTTCGTAGTTACTAGTTAAAAAACACACATTTCAAAGTATTTTGACCAGAAGTCTTTATTCCATTTTGTACCTTCCCTAGTTTAAGACAAATCTGTGTTACCAAAAGAAAAGATTTTTTTTTTTTATTTTTTTTGTTTTGAAACTGCTTCTGATTACTAGAATATTTAACTGCTGTAGCGTGCAAATGGGCAAAACGTGGTAATGAGCATGGGGCTGAAATACCTGGAGATTTGAGCTGACAGTGATGGCTGTGTTCAGCCTCTTCCATCAGGAGGGAAGTATTGTGACAAACAATGAAGCAAATTAATAGTGATGAGGTTGATATAGCAGTCTTACCCTGAATAGAAAAGCACATATCTTCTACAAGACTTGTGAATATCGCTGTTTTCCTCAGTGTGGGGAGGAAGAAGGGTGTTAAATAAACCACCTATTTTATTAGCTTTATTTAATGTCAAATAAAAAGGAAAGACATTAATATTAACAGCCTGCTGTTTTAATTGATTCCATGTAGCATAGAACTTAGTGCAGCCTAGTTAGAAATTGTTTAGGAAATTTTAGTCTTAACTTTTAAAACATGATCAAAGCACTTCAACAAGCTAAGGAGATACTTGAAAATGTAAGGAAAGGTGAAAAGTTATGCTCTTTCACAGGTTCTATGGTATCAGATTGAAGTCTCCAGTGCTAGAGAGTCGTTAAAGTACTGGGTGGTCTGTATCTACTGGTCTTTTCTAAGTGAAACCGCAGATTGCAATTCAATTCCATGCGGACAAATGACCACTGTAAAATATAACATGACAAGTTGTGCTTATTGCTTCCCATGGTGGCAGTTTAAGTTAAGATCAAAGACCAAGAAGATATTGAGACTAAATCACTTTTTTTAGTCTGAAAGGTACTCATGGAGGTGAAGGTGAGGGACACTAAGAGCAATGCTGCTGCTTACCAATCTGTGGATAACCACAATAAATCATTTTTCTTGGCTGCCATGAAAACAGTATTGGCTTTCAAACACAGAGTTGGAATGATGGTAGCTGAATGAAAACCTCCTTACAAAATAAGATGTCTTAAGCTAGAAAAGGGATACCCATAGGACAAAATTAAGTTAGTGGAGATCTTAGAATAAGAAAATTCTACAGGACTTCTGGATTTGGCACAACAGACAGAAAATCAAAGTTAACCTAATAAAAGCAAGCAGGTCTATATTTTCTGTGCTCAAGTACTAACTGTTGCTAAAACAAAATCTTAGGAATTCAGGCTTCCATGCAAAATTGCCCCTCACAGAACCTAAAATGTTATAAAGACTTTTGGTAGACAGAGCAAGACTTTCTAAGTGCCAGAAGACTCTGGGCATATGCAACCCTTTGCATTACTGTTCTGCTATAAAGTAAGCATATTGTGTAGTTAAGCACACACAGCCTTTGGGATGCTTTCCTTTCATAGAGTGCAGTCTACAGCTATCACTGCAATGGAGTTCGGTCTCTTTTCCTTAATATTCCTCTCATGCACGGTTTTGTTCTACTTGACATCCTTTCCACACTTCTCCTTTTGTCAGGCAAGTCCCTGAAGTACCTAAATTGCCACAGGTACTAAATCCTTGATAGCTCAGTAAATAACAGCAAAAATGCCATCAATTTGTATAAAAATTAGTTCTCAGTATGAAAAATGGTAACACTTTATTTTTTGTAAAAAGGCTGCAGATGTAATTTATAAGCAAGCAAAGCAATATGTATTATTAGGAGGAGCTTTTCCTTTTAATTGCATTTGCTGGGGAGTGTGCTATTTTAGCAAATGGAAATTTATCTACAGCCCAAATAAATGTTACTTTAATGATAGCTTTTATAACACTGCATTAAGCATCAAAATGTTCATCATACTTAACACCTGGGTGTCCCACAGTGAGAGTATGAGCAAAGCAACCAGTGGTGAAAGGTTGACAATGGTTTTGTTATTAACAAAATTCGTTCAAAGAATGTTCAATTTGTCAGGCTTTCAAACAAGTAAACAAAACCCAAAGAAACCTGAACATTTTTTTTATCTGATGAAGTGTCAGTGCTTGCAGAACAAAACAGATGTATAACTTCATGCACAGAAGGGATATAATTTATCTTAAGTGTCCTGCATAAAAAAAGCATTTTGTTCAGGATTAGCTCATGCAATTAAAACATATTTCATCCAGAAATGCAAAATAAGGGATATAGATGGAATTCTATCAGATTTCAAATTTTCTTCAAGTTCCTTTTCTCTGCGTTCTTAAACCTGTGTCTTTATCATATTGTGTATCACTCCTTTGAAATAGGGTACATGATTGGAAGAATAGAAGAGTTTCATTTTATCTTGCTTTCCCTTAGTACTTGATCATGCTTTAGTTTTTAATGAAGTAAAGAAATGCATTTTCATCCTTGTGATTAATTTCACATACTTACGTGGTTAATGGAAATGATAATGAGATACAATTGACAACATTCCACAAATGAGTAGTTATGGGAATTATAGAGGTTTTGTGTACAAAAAAAATAAATAAAAATCCTGTAATACCACAATTGCTACTTTTGAGTTTTGCATCTCTCAACTGATTCATCTTTATTTTGGGACAATGTAAAAATCAAGAGATGCCTTTTGGTGAATGGAAATCTACATATATTTTAACTGCTACTTTTCAAAGAGGGAGAAGGATGTGTCATATTATGTTTCCAACAGCATTCATAAAAGCGGGTCATGTTTTGTTAGCTCTGTTCTGAAAAGGAGTGTTCACCACCCCCCCACCTCCCCCCGGCTGTAACAGAAATGTCTTGACGCTTAAATGAGTTAGGAATGTAAGTAAATTTAGCATGGCCTGACCATCTCTTGTATGAGCAATCTTATAAAGGCAAATGTAGATTGCCCAGTCTAAAAATATAAGGGTCTTATGCTTCATTTTGGTATTTCTTTAGAGCTGCACAGATTTCACTATTTCAGCACTGGTTTAACAGTGACAAGGTAGGACCTAATTTTGTAATATTTTGCAAAATATGCAATGCCTTCTCTTCAGCCTGATTTTATTTTTTTATTTCAAAGTTTGCTATTTGTAAAAAACTATTTTTTAGGAAAAAAAGAAAAATTTCTTGGTGTGTCTCTAAAAAGAAGGATGCCATACATTTACTTAATAAGTTGGTTTTTTTTTAATCCACTTAGTCATTTAGACATTGAGCATTGACTGTCATGAGTGGTTAATACCATTTTCACCTACTAAAGGAGCAGTGACTCTTTAGCAACAAAGGGAGAAGGAAGTCCTAAACTCATGCTAAAACAGCTGGTTAAACCTACTAGGCAAAATTTTAGTTGCAACAATGACAACGGCATATCAGGACAATAAACAAATCGGTAATTTCAGTGAGTTTTGCATGAATATTTGTCTGAAAATAGTCCTAGTATGTCATCTACCAGGTTCTCCCTTTGGATGAGTCTTACTTCTATCAGTTTGAGGGTTTTCTCTTGAAGAAATGAAATTAACAAATGAAAAATCTACAAAGTCCTGTTTTCATGAAAGGAATGAAATTACATTAAATTAGCTTTACTTTAATTAATTACTTTGAAAATTTCCTAGTCCGAGGATTTTTCCCACCGATTAAAAATTCTCTTCGGCTCAGAAGATGCTGAAATGCACTGAAGGAACCATGTAAGACACTTCAGATAGGTTTCCTTCCTATATATTTAGTGATGGATTTTGAGTATTGGACTTCCTCGGATGAAGATAAGTACAGCAAGAACCTTCAAACTAAGATACACCTGACTAATGTTTTTCAACTGAAAACTTGTTGAAGTAAAACTAAATAAAAAAAAAACAAAAACAATGCTATAACTTCCATAGAGGTAAGCGGAAGAATAAATTTACTGCAGCTGACAAGGTTTTTAATGCTAAGATACCTTCAGTACATTGTACTCAGATACATTAAATTTTAAAATTTCCTGATCTTTGTGAGCTTCATTTTTTTTTCTGTTAACATAACATGAACATTTGATTTACATTTCATTAGTGGGAAGATTGAGTTAAATGACTGTAGATTCTATCTCCAAACCTGTTCACACTATGAGATTTCTTTCTACTAAGAAAAGTTCAAACCATTTTGCATTCAACAGCCAAAGCTGAATGACTTTATCATGCTATTTGGTCAGATTGTTTTTGAATCTAGGGGTAATATTTGAAATTGGTATGCGTATTTTTTCCATATGATTCTTATTGACTTAAATAATGACTACCCAGCTAGAACTTACCTCATGCAGGGCAGTTGGAAAATTAAGTACACTGCTATTCAGGTATTAAAATATATACTAGGCAGATGAAAGCATTGGGAGGTGAAGGCATTCCAACAGCCATTTTATCTGTGAGAAAGACATCAGTGCTTACAGCAGCATCCTTTCTGTATCAAAATCAGCGGAATATTGTAAGTAAGGAGAATTACATTCAAACTGCTTTCTGTTCCCTCACAAAGATCATCAGATGCCTCACTAATAATAGGATGTATAACTTTACATTCAATATCGTCTTGATTAGAACTACTTGCAGTAATTCTAGTGACCTGCAGTTTGCACCTCCTCCAGGTAGTATTTCTTTCCAACCATTAAAGAAACCAGTTATATTTCAATTTGGTCAGAATTTGATAAACGGGAGACATGTAAAAGCATGCAACTTTCTATCAGTTCACTGCATACAGATGCCGAACGCATGGTCACTTACTGCCTTGATGCTTTCAAAGTGTCCACCTTCTTTTTCAAAGTCAATTGGCTGCCCATTGAGTGTCCAATAGAAAGTGACATCTAGTGTGCTGTCATGAAGGGCTTTGCAACTGAGGACAATGCTTTCTCCAACCGTTAACTCTATCTTCTTGGGAGTCAGCTCTATTCTTGTAGGTTCTTAAAATATAGATGGATTAGGAACACTTAGATGAAAGTCCAGTTATAATGCAAGGTGAAAATAATATGATTGAGTTCAGTTTAGTCTACTAAGAGCTTACATTTACTGTTTGTTTCAAATACATTGTGTCAAATACTGAAATATATTCATAATGCACACATGGCAGTGGTGAACAGAAGGTACAGGAAGCAGTAAGGCAGGATCCTTAACACAATCTATAGGAGTTCTGAGATGCATTAGTTAATTGATTTTATGAGACTCAGAAAAAGTCAGAAAAAGCACCTGGAATTTTGTGATTGCATGAAGATCTCAGTTTTGTTACTTAAAATAGAAAAAGGTGCTTCCAGGCACACTAAATATAGGAAGAAGCTTGAAAAATAAAGTCAGAAGACTTGAACACCTAAAATAAAACCTCTGATCATATAAGAATTCATCTGAAAAGTGTCAAAAATGTGGTTTAGAAATGTACTGCAACTCACTGTTTTGATTTTTATCACTGTCCTAAAGAACTACTTTTCCTTAGATTTATATTTGATACAATTATTGTTCAATCCTAATCTTTGCTCCCATGCAGGAAGAGGTAGGAATAAGCTAAAATATGTTAAAAGGGATATTGATTCTTTTACATATAGAATTATTTATAACCTTAGTGATTCATTATATATACTAATACTTCTGACATATAACTGTGAGAGAGCAGGTGGGGTTTGCTTTCTGATGCAGGAATAGGATGTTTGATCAGATGGAGGTTAGCGCCCCCAGCTTGTTAAAAATACTTTATTCTGCCTGTACAGTGTTGCTCTATGGTTGGCAGGGGATATTAAGCAATAATGAAATGTTGGTAAGGAGAAATCATCATTATCATTATTTTTTTCATACCTTTAACAGATACTGATGCAATGATTTCTGCAGATCCAAATACATTTACACCTTGACATGAGTACCGACCTTCATCAGACTTTGAAGCGTTAAGTATTCGCAGGCTCCCATGTGGAAGTATAGTTATTCTGAAAAGGATAAATACATAAATACATAGAATCATAGAATCATAGAATAGTTAGGGTTGGAAAGGACCTTAAGATCATCTAGTTCCAGCCCCCCTGCCATGGGCAGGGACACCTCACGTTAAACCATGTCACCCAAGGCTCTGTCCAACCTGGCCTTGAACACCACCAGGGATGGAGCATTCACAACTTCCCTGGACAACCCATTCCAGTGCCTCACCACCCTGTACCCAGCTCACTCATCTCCCATGTTTCTTATGGAAGATACAAATATATTTCCCATACTAGCAGCCAAATTCCATGATGATATCTTTTAGAGCTAATAAATAGGATTAAGGACTGCTGCCTCTGTAGCAATGGATGATAATTGGATTCTATTCTGTTTCAAAAAGGTTCTAATAAACCTATTTTACTCCTTCTCCTTCCTTAATTCAAAACGTTTCGGGGAAGCAACAGTGGATTAGTATCCTTTGACACTTTTCAGTGGTGAATTTTAATGAACATTTTTGTAAAAAGTAAAAAAGATGATTCTTCATAATTTGTCTTTAAAGTTTTGCTGCTATATTAGTGTCAAATCACATTTCAGTATCAAGCGCAAGTTACTTAATTTAGACAAAAATGACCTTAAAAATTAAATCTGAGAAGAATGGGAAGCAAAATGTAAAAGAGGACAAGGAAAAAAATACATAAAATTAATTGTATCTTGTCTAAATATGATTTATGGCATCACTATACAGTGTAGCATAGGGACTTACATAGCTCTGCTTTATTGTATCTCAGCTTTTATTTTTTCCTTGAGTCTTGTATGATTTCAGCTCCACTACATCTCTAGGTAAGTAACCTCACTGAAGCATACTCGTAAGAAATGTTCTTCAATCATTTGCGTTAGGAGTTTCAGACTTTGGTTTTGTTTACACAGTATTAATCCTAAAGATCATGAAGCTACATAGAAGTGAAAATTAACACATTTTTTCTGTTCTAAAATGACAAACCCCTGAATTTATTATATGTTAAACCTGCAGCCCTGGAAGACAGTTAAACAATCATTGCTCCTTTCTGACGGAGAACTACAATCCTAAAAGGAACATGGCAACTCTTAACAGGGCATTTAAACAAAGCCCTGCTTGCAAATGTTGTACATCCTTTCCCAGGCTGGGTAGTGGTTCTGGCTTTCTCAAAGTACTTGGAAGATGTAGGCTGGAAGCCCTTTGGCAGGTATGGACACTGAAAGACCTCTCTCTGTGTTAGAGAAAGAGTCTTAACTAAGTAGATGGGTGGCTCTTCCCCAGTGATGGATGGATTTTTAAGACATACCTCTCCAGAGACGGCTTTCTATACGTCAATGTAGTGACTGCTAGCACTCCTTCTGCCGGGAGTCCCCTATTGAGTCTATGATCAGAAATCATGCAGGGTACGATGCTGTTGTTTACTCTTGAGAAGTATTTAACCAGGAGTAAGGTGCTTTGATCATCCTGATTAACAGGTCTGGGTTGGGCATTTCAGCAGCCAAAAAAAGGAATTTCCTTTCTAGGCTAGACATGTTAAAATGCAAAGTTGTTACCTTTGATTTAAACCAGGAGTGATTTACCAGAGGCTTAAGATTAAATAATGTGCCAAACTAAATCACTAATATGAGACTGCATTCCCCCCCCCCGGAAAAAGAAAAATACCTCCATTCTCTAACTCTGTGAAAAAATGGTGCTTTATTATCTGAGGTTTATAAACATTGTGGTGGAGATAACAGAATTTCATTCCAGTGAAAAATGTACTTCTATTCACTTCAGATGTGAAACCATTCACTGCTTTCAGCAGAGAGACAGAAAAAAATAATAGCTTCAAAAGTGAATGGGGCAGAGGAAGGACATGTCAGCTCCCGAATTCCCTAGTGCAATCTGATGATGTATCTCCCATCTTGCCCTAAACAAATATGTATCAGTACTTCAGTCACATTATTTTTCTAAAAATAATTTCATAGAAAACATAGTCGCATTAAGAAAATGCCTCTGTATCAGAGTTCTGAAGTATTGGGATTTTTTTTCCAACAAACAAGAAAGGCTGAAATTTTGTTATAATATGTCACACCTTCCAACAATCTGCTTTAGGAACTGACAGGAATGTAAGTCCTTTCTTTCCTTTTGGTGCAAGTTTTGTTTTCCTATCAATATGCTCTTTGATCAATGCTCTGAGGACACCGTATCATTAGTATGACAATATCCTTTGCAGAACAGTAATAGTTTTCATCAATATGCTGTCAGCATCAGACAAATGAAAGGACATCCCTACAATGTTTACAAATTATAAAAACTTATACGCAGCATAAGTCCTGATATAAGACTGTTTTTCATTCTGAGCTTGGAGGAAAAGAAAGTCAGATGCATATGGAAGATTATCTAATGAATCTTACACATATTATCAGCTACATTTCTATTTCGCTAAAAGCTCTTGCTATCCATGAGGAAAAGAGTAATCTCTCAATCAAAGGATTTGCAAACACATTTGCTGGTGAATTATTTGGCTCAGAAATTAATACTTTCCTTAAAATGCCTCACATTCATCTGTTCTTTCTTTGTGTGTTTGGGAAAAAAGCCAGAGGCTGGTTATGATGGAAACTGAAATGATTTATTTATTCACATAACACTTGCTGCACACAGCAGGAACATAGACTTCTCCTCCTTCCTGCCAATATCTCTCAGTCACAGAGAGACCACCTGCATCGTATGCCTGCATATTTTAATAAGAAAATACCATAGCAAAAGGGTTTTTAGCTTCATAAACAAAAGGTAAGCAGAGACAAGAAAAGGGGGTGGGATAGAATTAGGTATAATTAAAGAAAAAAATCCTACATTTTTATTTATTAGAAACTGAGGGAAAGATGATGATAGATGAATGGATAGAGAAAGGATGGAGAGAGTCACCAAGGTGATAGTTAGGCGATTACCATATTTAAGAAAAACTTGTTGTAATCTCATATAGAGATAGATGTTGTCCATCCAAGGACTCTGAGAAAAGAGGCACACGACCTTAGTGTCTCTACAGAAAATTGTCTCTAGTATCATGGAGAAAAAGAGATGAGTGCTACTGTCTTGGAGTCAATAAGCATGTTGGCTTAAGATCACTAGCAAAAGAGATTTCTGCAGGAATTATTAGGAAAGAACAATTGAGTTATGACAGCAAATTGACATGGGCTAAAATTCAACATAACTAAAGTATATGGAACAAGATCAAATTGTTAGAACAATTAATAAGAAGAAACATTTTCTAGAGAAAATGAATTCAGATTTGATCTTCCATGGGTTTCGAGCATGGTTTTCATGATGAAATTCACATGCCTGGTTAAACAGGTTTCACACAGAAATTTAAGATGGTTAAGAAAGAGGTTGAATAGAAGAGAAAAAATAATTTTTGGAAGAGAAATTGTCCTTTGTGCTATTATCTTTCTTTTTTTTTCGTAACGACCAGGATGCAAAAAGAAATTTGATGAAATAATCAGTTCATTGACACAGCAAGATCAGCATATCAAACAGGAGGGCTTTGATGACACTGAACACCAGACTATAGAAAAGCACTGATTGTGGCTCTGTACTAACAGTACCATGCAGCAAAGGCAAATGCAACCTCAGTATATATCAGATAACAACCTGCAGCAATTTTAATTATGAAGGAATTAATTCATAAGGTGCTGAGGAACCATAATGTGGGATATAAGACCATTTTGATTAAGAGTATTCAGTATGCATCCCAATTGAGCTGGCACTCAGGAGGGTCATCAGGATGACCAGAGAGGAAGGAAAACCTTTGGTTCTAGAGGCTGTTTGTAGGGTGAAAGCCAAGGTGTCTGCAAGTGAGATGAGTTTCTACTTTACATATTAATTCATGAATCTTTTCAGTAGCCAGTGGAACCTTTATCTACAGTAAAAAAGTTTAAATGTCTGATTCCCACTACATTCAGATATTTCAACCTGAAACTAAATTTCACCTGAAATCTTGACTTACTCAGATGTGCCTGTTATGACCTGACATGATTGAGGGGCAAAATCCCAGCTGGTTTTCATATCAAGAGTGTGACTCGGAAATTAAGTTCCCAGTTGTCCCCACTTTGGTTTGTAAAATGAAGCAGTCTGAGCACAAGAACTTCAGCTGACACTAAATTGTGAGGGATGCTTTAGGAAAGCATTGGTTTTCAGCTACAAATATGCATCCAGTATGTTGAATGGGACTAGAACTATTCCAAAGAGAAATGCAGAATTAGACAATGTGGACAGTTTCAAGTTTTTGCTTCTTCTATGAACCCATACTACGTGCTCATATAGAAATAGCTGTAAGGTATCCAAGAGAGATGGACTGGGCTGACAAATGTGACACAAGACCTGTGAGAGGACCTAATCACTTGCAGCTGAGACACAGATGTTTGCAGCAGGTGTTAAATGTGACTCTCTGAAGCCTAGATGTGAGCAAGGATGGTACTGTAGGGCTCTCAAAGGGTGGCAGGAGTTTGTGTGGGTAGCTGACTCAAGCCCATAGTGCAATGTTAGAGGCAGTCTAAAGAATTATGGGATATAAAGTCTGCTAATGATGGTGGTGGTGAGCATCAAGTGTGCTGCTGGTCTTTGAAAACCTCTCAGAAATCAATTAACCATAAGCTTCACTGAATACTTTATGCCCATGAAGCTATTGTTAAAACCAGATTAATAGTGAAAAAAGCTACATTGAAAATGAATTTGAATTTGAAAGTATATCAGATATCTGTGTGTATTATATTTTGGAAATTCTTATTAGTGGTATTTCTATAATGCTCTTTTTGTTAATGACAGCATAACCCAGTAAACTAGGTTGAGAATTTTTACAAAGCCATAGAAGCATGAATAAGAGTGTAAATTTTCTTCTTTAAGGCTTGAGGATTGGATCTAGAATGACATTGGGAGGCTGCAAAATACTCAGTAATTATTGTTTTCACATGATATTTCCAAGTATTTATTTTCACTATAAAAATATTTGCAATCTAC